ATATAACGCCACTGCATTTTACTCTATTTAAAATGTTTAGTAACAAAAACAACAACAACAAACTACAACAACAACAAACAATAACAAAGACATCTAATGTGGAACAAGTGTGTGTGTTTTATCATAACTGCGTTCATTTATTCAACACTAACGTTAGACCAAATGAATGGCCAAACTACTGTCACGGTGAAAAACAAACATAGGTATCAATGACATGTATAAAATAGCCTATCATTTTATAATGTGCCAGGATAAACGAATATTAAAAGCAGCGGAGGAAATGGCTGATAATTTAAAAAGGTGTTTGTGAAAAAATTACACCTCATAAATTTTAGTTAAAAGAAACTCTCTATAGTACTGTCAGCTGAAAAACATGTCGATGCCACAAATTAGGCTTGATATGCCATATTTCCAGTCTCCCTAAATAATCAAAGCATTGGGTTGGGAAAGTAGACCATTTTGAAGGTGTTTGAGAAAGAATCCAACAAACCTTAATTCAAAGCCGAGGTAGAAATAAAAGAAAGAAATTAACAAAAACAAAATGGGTTATATTTTAAAGTGACGTTCAATAATTATTTATGCACAGCAAACTTCACTATTTTGGTGGGGGAGGGGGGGGAGGGGGTTCAAGTTAACAAACTATTTTAGTTCTGATGGTTATAATAAGACTGATTTAATATGATTGATTTTAATGGCATCTGTAATGGTCCCTGTGGATCTCTGCTGGTAATTGTTGTCATTTTAAAAAACACTAAATCTAATGGAATATGTCACAAAACACACTAGAACCTATTTAAATGTACTGGTGTTTTAATGGATAAACAGTTAATGGATTGATGTGGTTTCCAATTTCTATGTAATTTTATTTATTCATTTAATTATTTATTTTTGCATGTTACCTTCAAAGTCCCTAGATATCACCACTTGCCTACTTCTTGCTGGCACTTTTTACCTGGGAATTAAGCAAAAACAAAACAGAAAAAAATCATTACGTTTAAAGTAAACTTTTTGTTGACCTCAAGTGGTGTCCCTGCACTCGCATAAATACAAGGTCATCCAGTATGTTCAAACAATGTTATATAGGCAGTTTTGGGGAAAATAATGCAATACAGTATTGAGTTACTCCCCAAAAAAGTAACTAGTTGCGTTACTTAGTTACTTTTTAAGGTAAGTAATACATTACGTTACTTTTGTGTTACTTTTTATTATGCTTTTTTTTATTGAAATTTTAAAGCAATGTGTTTGCTACTTTTATACTGTTTGTCTACAGTTAAATCACTGTCCATTGAGACAATCCCCTTTTACTTTTCTTTCATGCGTTCAAAATAATGAAGACATTCTCTCATTGACTGGGTCATTTATTGCGAGTACTTTCATTTTAATTCTGCAGTTTACTTTTTAAAAGCTCATTAATTAAACAAAAACAAGTAACTTAAATTCATTCATTTTATTTTCGGCTTAGTGCCTTTATTAATTTGGGGTCGCCACAGCGGAATGAACCACCAATTTATCCAGCAAATGTCTTAAGCAGTGGATGTCCTTCCAGCTGCAACAGTAACTTAAATATTATTATTATTTTTTTAAATGTGTTACTTGTTACTTAGAAGAAGAAAAAATATATTCTTATGTGACTCACATTACTTGTAATGTGTTACCCCCAACACTGTATATAGGCTATATATTTCAGATATGTCATTTGCATTTTAGAATGATCTAGAACAGTGGTCTTGAACTCCTGGAGGGCCACAGCTCTGCAGAATTTATCACCAACCACCTCCAACTCACACCTGCTTAATAGTCTTTAGTACTGTTGAACACCTTGATTATTTGGATCAGCTGTGTTTGATTAGGGCTGAAGCTAAACTGTGCAGAGCTGCGGCACTCCAAGAATCCAGTTTGAGATCCATGATTTAGAAGGACCTAATAATGTGTGTTACATATCTAAAACTGACACAACTGTTGCACATGTTTTCCTCACCTACAAATGATGTATACATTATTATACATATTCATAAACTACCACTGCACATATCAGTATTATGGCAGGCATTAGCTTTAAAACCGTAATGAATCATTGTTCCAGCACAGTGCTCTTGTGAGGGATGTCAAGCTTAAACTGCTTTATTTATAATACATGAACAAACAATGCAGAGTCAACACACTTGACAAACAAGAAGACTTAAGAAGACAAAGGCTCTTCGCGGAGGGATTTGCTCTACAGTAAGTACTAAACCAACAAATGCCACATGAAATTTTCACTGAAGTATGGATTTTTCACTTGCTTATGTAAAATTAAAATTCTGTTATGAGATATGTGTGTTTCGGGTTATAACTTACATAATAACAATGATTACGAGCAACTTACTCTTAAAGTCTGCCCGCATGGGTTAAATATGAGACAACCCCAAAGTGATGTTTGCATTAAATTAAAATTAAATTTACAAAAGTGTACAAATAATGATTAAATATAAAAGGAAATAATAAAATATTGTAACCAGTAAATTAAAGAGAAATTGTCTTGCTTACTATCAGGCATCAAGTTCTTTTAGTATTTCATCAAATGGTTCTTCAAAACATAGATAAAATTTGTTTGGTATATAAACTTGTTTGGTATATAAACTATTTTTTGTTTGTTTGTTATATTGATTTAAAGAGTTCAGATGCAAAAACCTCTAAATCCCATTTGATATTTCCTTCTGAAATTAGCATTTGTCTTGTGAGTATGCTCGATACTTTTACTTTTATAGTGACAAATATGTTCCTTTCATTGCCTTTAAAGTGAAATAACTGAACATAAACATAGGAGGCTGAAAAAAATGTTCATTGTAAGAGAACATTTTCAGATGGCCATTAGAGATTTTTGAACTCTTTATATTCAGTCATAAATACGATCCATAAAGAAAAAAAATACATTAAAGCACATTAAAACAGAAAATAAAACTAACAAAAGGACAACTGTATTATGTTTGAAATGGTCTGTACTGTATTATGTTTGAAATGGTCTGTACTTGTCTTTGACCAGCTAGATGTTATTAGTAGTATTTTAACTACAGCGAGTCAGTGACTAATTGACTGTAAATGTGGGATCGATCAGTTGGAAAAAATACTTGTAGTTACAGATTTTGGCCAGCAGATGGACTCGTTACTTTTTAAATTGGGGCTCATTACACATCAATAGCTAATATAACAAACTAGCAAAACCAAGACAAAAAACAACATTATTATTAAAAGGATCAGTTTCTGACACCTCCCTAATAGTTTATATTAATACATCTTTCTATTGGACAATTTAGATTTCTGTGTACTAAAAAAAAAAAAAAACATGGTAAATGAATTTTACTCTTATGTATACTGTTGCTGTACCAATAATGTCTAATGTTATAATATCATAAAGAAATCGTTCACACGCACAAATGAAAATTTACACTCATACTCTCAAGTGGTTATGAATATCTATGACAGGTGCTCAAACTTAGTCCTGGGGTGCCAGTGTCCTGCAGAATTTAGTTCCAACCTCATTTAAACACACCTGAACCAGCTAATCAAGCTCTTTGTAGGTATACTAAAAACTTCCAGGCAGGTGTGTTGAAGGAAGTTGGAGCTAAACTGTGCAGTGCACCGACCCTCCAGCACTGAGTTTGGGCACCCTTGATTTCTGAGTTTCTTTATTGTTAAACACACATACAAAAGATATTTTAAAGTGGAAAAAGGGTACACATTGACATCTATAGTATGACAAAAATAGTAGTAGTTATCGTATTCTTCAAAGTTCCACCCTTTGTGTACAACTGACAAAAAAATGGAACAGGAAGAGGGACAGTAAATGATGACAGAAGTTTTGGGTGAACTATATTTTTAATCAAAGTGGACTTTGGGGGCCCAAAGCAATTCTCGCAATGGGTCTTAGCATTAAAACTCAAAACACTCTCTTTCTCTATAGACATTTTTCACTGTAGATTTGTTTTTGTAAATATTTTAAGTTGAACCTTTATTTTCTCAATGTAAAATTGAATACAATTAATTCACTGACTACAGCCATATCTGTGATTAGATTTTATTATTTGCATGTGCAGTACGGAAGGAACGTTCCACTATTTAGGGGTGGCCTCAGTTTAGAAAATAAGTAATAATGTTAAAAACAATGCCTATAGACAGATTTTGAAACATATGATAGCACATTTAAAAAAAGAGCTATATGATTAATTTAGGCTTCTTGACATTGGTCGGAGCCTAAGCGACCGCTTGTGTTTGCTTATTGGTTAATTCCACCCCTGCCTTTAATTCTATTAATATAGGCTGTATTATTATATTATATATGACACATATTGCACTTTTCAACATTGTCATTGTTATTAATATCTTTTTTTCGTCAATTGATCACACATATTGATTTCTTAACTTAAAGTTAAGCTTCTTTTTAAACTTCTTAAATATTTCCTAAAGTATAAAGCATTGGTATTGACACTCTTTTTAAAATTGTATTATAATGATAGAATATTATTTTATATTCTGGATGACAGCATTTAATTTTAGAAGAGATATCATCGGTAGTATTTAAAGAACAAATCAAAAATAAAACTGAGATTTTACTTAATTCAGAAAATTGAGAATTTCCAAGTGGTCCGAGTATTCAATGTTTTTTTTTTCTTCACACAGTTCCCATATTTTTGATAGATTATGTTGTAATGTTACATGTTACAGAGCATTTTCTAAATGTTAATGCTATCATATTTCAACATATACAATACTGTAAATTCCAATTTCCCTGCCCAACTCACTTCAAAGTATTATCTGAAATGAGTGTGTAAACCTCAGTCACATCACTATCCCCCAGAGTCCAGACACGGGTATGATGATCAGGATAGGTGCAGTGTTGTGATGTGTAGTGTAGTGCTGAAGTGGGCAGTGTTTGTCGGGAGGCGCACGGGCACCTGAGCTGAGCTGCTGCTGCAGGGGTTTCCATAGCGAGCGCACACACTCGCTCACTTCAGCGGGAACACCGCGGACTTCCTGATGCCGGACAGCGTGTGTATCCCGCCCGCGTTCACACAACACACTCGGCTGGGGACATGTAAACGGGACGCGTTCGCGAGCTACGAAGGTAAGCGCGTGTTACTGATAAACTGTGATGGGAAGACATTTATCATGCTAAAGTTCTGTGTGTTTGTTGTGCTAAAGTAGCGCTAGCGGGGCAGTTTGAGCCCCTCGGAGTCAAGCGGGGCGGTTAAATGAAGTTTAAATGCAAGACATGTGGCGGTATGCTTGATTGTAGGTATTTATTTACTCGTGCGAGAAGAAACAGTGGTTTGTTTACTCTAGAGTTGTTCAAATTTGTATTCAATGAGGCCTAGCGAGCCAAACGATCGGACGGCCTCCTGAAGAAGGATTGATGCTCATGGGCTGTTCGTAAACATGAATGATGCGCGCCGATTGGCCGAGAACACAGACGCTGAGCGTTGATTGGCTGACCGCGCTGTCACTCGCGAGTTGTCCCGAATGCCTTTAAATGTTTTGGTACGTAAATTAATTTGTGCAAAAGCAAGAAACACTCGACTTTCGAAACGATGACATTCAGAAAATACAAGTATTTTGGATTTATATTGCCAGTTGTCCTTCAAACTGTGCTGTAGGGACGCAGTAAAATAGGTTAGTCAATTTCATGAGATTTTTAATTACTGAAAAGTAAAGTCAGTGATAGTCTTGTTCTTTATTTGCTGAAATAATTAAATATTATATATGATAATAAATATATTGAAGCTCAGTAAAAATAATGTAATATTTGTAAAACTATTTATGTGGTATAGTATAGTTTTTAGTTTGAGACATTTTTATCCTTACCAAAGTTTCCATGGGTTTGTTTATTTATTTATAGCAGGTTGTAATCACCATTTGTTTTACTACAAATGCCTTATCTAATCTGGTAGTGTATCAAACCATGGTTAATCAATGGTTACCAATTGTTTAACTTAGCTCTTTAGGTTTTCTTGTAAATCCATAGTTTATTTTTTTCATGATATATTTGAAACGGTCACACAATACTGCGTAAATACGTCTAATTACTATTTGTACATAATCAAGATGCTTTAAAAGTTTGCTGTATGTAAATCCATGCTGGTTAAAATGTTCAAATGAGTGTGTTTTCATGCTTTTCATGTCTCACATTCTGCTGAGCTGTGTGTTTCACATGCACATGCGCATGTGCTGACCACACACATCACTGTTCTGTTATATAGAGCACAGCCCTCCTCGACATCACTTAAACACACATTTTCACAGCTGTAGGAGAACACGTGCAATCCAGAGCAAATAATGTGCTTCTCGTTCGATCTAAATCTAGGCCTACATAAAACAAAATTTAAAAAGTATTTAACTAAAAAGTATCAAAATAGCAGAATTTTTTTCATTTATGTTTATGGGTAAGAGACAAAAAGTGTTTTCGTAAGCATCAAAGCCATAACTATAGTAATAATATTGGAGAATGTATAGTACTGTTTCATATTTATTTCTTAGTGCCTATCTATTATCTATTTTTACCATGATTTACAGCAAACGTAAATGTTTTTAAAGTATAACAATAAATAATAGTTTAAAATTCATGATACAAAGTTTATTTAATCAACTCTTCATTGTTTACTAATATTCTATAAAAAAAAAACTTCTATATTTAACATTGTCACTACATAACATATTTTAAGACGGCCAGCGAGAGGCTCAATCATAATATTATACTTCTTGTCAATTAATATAAATACATATAAGATACCCACTTAAATATAATAAGGTGTAGTAAAGTCTTGTCTGTCATTTTAAAACAAGAATCATTTTGCTTATTAATGGAGAAATGTAAGAAGCACTAAAAATAAAAAATGTATTGTAGTTTTAAAACTTAAAGCTTTATCAATATACAAACAACTAATTTGTATCCACTTTCCAGGTTATATATGCAGCTGAAGTCAGAATTATTAGCACCCCTGTTAATTTTTTCCCCAATTTCTGTTTAATAGAGAGAATATTATTTCAACACATTTCTGAACATAATAGTTTTTATAACTCATTTCTAATAACTGATTTATTTTATCTTTGCCATGATGACAGTACATAATATTTGACTAGATATTTTAAGACACTATTTTACAGCTTAAAGTGAAATTTAAAGGCTTAACTAGGTTAATTGGGCAGATTAGGGTAATTGGGCAAGTTTATGTCAATGGTTTGTTCTGTAGACTATCAAAAAATATATAGGCTAAAGAGGCTAATAATTTTGACCCTATAAATGATTTTTAAAATATTAAAAACTGCTTTTATTCTAGCCGAAATATAACAAATAAGACTTTCTCCAGAAAAAAAAAAAAAAAAAATTATCAAACACACTTTAAAAATTCCCGGCTCTGTCAAACATCATTTGGGAAATATTTTAAAAAAGGAGAAAAATATTCTTGCATCTCTGATGTTTTTTATTGTATTTTAGTTCAAAACGAATTAGATTTTTTAGTTTTTTACAGAAATTTTTATTTAATTCTTTAAAAAATCATTTTATGCAGACAGCAAAATGGGAAATCTTTAACCTGATAAAAGTATTTGATTTAGCTCTTCAGTGGACTACAATTGATTAGATTAGGTGGATTTATTATTAGATCATGATCATCATGTTCTTTATTGATCTCATGAGGGAAATTGTGGTCCATTAGCAGCCAGATATATTCATCGCTGAAGAGTACGGTACAGCATGCAGTGCAGTATTGTTACACATTTATAAATATTTTCTAAACGACCAATATAATTGTAACTAAATATGAATTATTTTTTTCATATTTGTAGTGAAAGTGTGTCATAATAAAATATAAAAATTTATCAGACCCATAAGGTGCATGATTTTTCAAACCTGGCTTACAATTAATTAAATTGATGGAAGTCTTATAATTTAGATAATAATGATAATATTAGTTTTAATAATGATAATAGCAACTAATAATAATGACAATAGTAATAATAGTAATGATAATAGTAATAATAATAAAAAGAGCATTGAGCTGATATGGCCATTTCTTTTTTTCTGTTTACAGTGAAAATTAAATGGGTTGTTAATATTTGATTTAAAAACATGTGTTTTTTGATAATTAGGTTTTATTTATTTTGCAAAATCTAAACTATGTGCTACATTTCAGAATTAAATCTGATATGGAGCTATTCATAAAGTTATTAGCTACTGTACAGCACACAGTTTACACAGTAAATCATATTTTTACATTTTTATGGGTATAGTTAAAGGAATATTTCCACAAAAGTAGATATTTTGAAGAATGTTGGAAACCGGTAGCCATTGACCTCAATTAATTATAGGGTGTCCGCAGTGTCTTAAAGTGTCTTAAATCTCCAAAACTACATTTCAGGTCTTAAAATGTCAAAAATATATTGAAGTAGTATGTCGTAGTTCTTAACTCTTTTTTTTAACAGGTCTTAATTGTCCTTTGTTCATTTATAGCTACCCAATGTGGCCAACAGTCTCCAACAAATGATCTCAAAAACTATTTATGTAACTCTCTTTATCATAATGATTTAATTGTTTTCCTTACAATAACATTTGTTTAAAAGTTGTATTTACTGCTGTGGTCATTGACGCTACCTAATATATATTTTTATTTAAATATTTTTATTGTTATTGTATTAATAAATCTATTAAATAATAGTTATTCTTTTTTATCTGGCAAGTAAAAATGTTTTCCAACAGGGCTATTTAAAAAAAAAAAACAACAACAAGAGTTTACCCCTGTATAAGTCTAAAATATCAATTATAATGAACTTTAAAATGTCTCTAAAAATCTTCAATTTAACTTGGTAAAACCTGCAGAAACCCTGAATAAGGTTTAAGTCAAAGGCTTGAAACAAGTGGAATGTGAATAATCGATGAAATAAGGGTTATTTTGAGTGAACTGGAAAAGTAAGCTATTTTCTTCATTATAAATCTTAATTAAATGATATAATGGTGTGTAATACAAACTAAGAGCTAATTAATAAGAAATTAGGCAAAATATTGTTAATAAATAGCAAAGCAGATCTCAAAAATGCATGAAACCCTGAGACAGTCAAGGCAGTATCCCTGAAGCCTTTATTGCTCTGTGGTGGATGAAATAAGAAACAGCACAGAAGTTGTATGGATGGCTTCAGCTTGAGAGGTAGAGGGAAGCAAGCCGATGAGGAACTGAACTGGTTTTGCCCACAGATAAGGATAGATCACTTCCTGTGTGGGGGAGGATGAGCCATGGCAACTAAATGGAGCAAAGCTTTCAGAGCCGGTACATCAGACAGTTCTCTGGTGGTGGGCACTGGTGTAGGAAGCCGTTATTATTACTTTGTAAAACACTTGCCCAAACCCTGGAACACACACACACACACACACACACACACACACACACACACACACACACACACACACACACACACACACACACACACACACACATACATACTTGTGCAGGGATTCTCTGCAGGCAGTTTTATTTATTTATTTTATTTTACAGAAAATACAGTTTGTTATTAAAGGGACAGTTCACCCAAATATGACAAATTACTCACCTCCAAGAGGTTCCAAATATTTATGAGTTTCTTCTGTTGAACACAGTAGATAAAATTGTAAAGAAAGCTGAAAACAAATACTATGGAAGTCAATGGTTTTCAGCTTTTTTTCAGAATGTCTTCTTTTGGGTTTAACAGAAGAAAGTTGCAAAGGGTTCGTAAATGATGACAGAATTTTTGGGTGAACTATTACTTTAGTATATTCTGTATTTTATATTAACAAATCATTCACTGAAAACATCTGACAAATTTGGCTAAAAAAACAGAACGTGTCCTCATGAACATTATTCACGGTGTAATAGCAATGCTATTATGCACCTCCGTACTTCCAGTCTTAGTGTAATGGTCATATCCAAGTGGCTTTATGAATCAGGGAAAGATACGCAATAACTCAGAAAACTAATCAGAGAGTGATTGTGGATAACCACACGTCCGTTTTCAAAAGTTTGTGCTTCAGTCCATCTATACTGAAACAGAATACCAGCAATTCCACATTTAAAAAAAGATCTTTAACATTTTATAAGTGCT